CCAGCACTTTGGGAGGCCAAGCCGGGTGGATCACAAGGTCAAGAGATCGAGACCATCCTGGTCAACATGGTGAAACCCCGTCTCTACTAAAAATATAAATAATTAGCTGGGCATGGTGGCGTGTGCCTGTAATCCCAGCTACTCAGGAGGCTGAGGCAGAAGAATTGCCTGAACCCAGGAGGCGAAGGTTGCTGGTGAGCCGAGATCGCACCATTGCACTCCAGCCTGGGTAACAGGAGCAAAACTCCGTCTTAAAAAAATAATAATAATACAAAAATTAGTCACCCATCACGTGGGGCACCTGTGATCCCAGCTATTTGGGAGGCTGAGGCAGGAGAGTTGCTTGAACTGGGAAGGTGGAGGTTACAGTAAGCCAAGGTCACAGGCTACTGCCCTCCATCCTGGGCAACAGAGCGAGACTTTGTCTTAAAAAAAAAAAAAAAAGTGTATGTCTAAACAACAGGCAGGGTGACTCACACCTGTAATCTCAACACTTGGGAGGCTGAGGCGGGTGGATCACTTTGGCTAGCCACCAAACTGGCCAAACTGGTGAAACCCCATCTTTAGTAAAAATATAAAAACTAGCCAGGCATGGAAGCACACACCTGTAATCCCAGCTACTCAGGAGGCTAAGGCAGGGGAATCTCTTGAACCCAGAAGGCAGAGGTTGCAGGGAGCTAAGATTGCGCCACTGCACTCCAGTCTGGGCGACAGAGCGAGACTCCATCTCAAAAGAAAAAAAAAGTGCAACGATTGCTGTGTCTCACCAATGAATGAGGTCATGCTGTGAATTCCCTTTGCAGGGACTGGCCTGACCGACAGGCAGTTCCCTAAGTAAATGCACGTTTATCTCATTATCTTTTTTGAAGCATTAACATAGTTTTAATAAATATTTTTGGTTGCAAAACTGACTCATATTTATATAATGAAACAAAGAATTTTGAATATGAAAAACACTAATTAAAATCTGTGTATTCAGTAGTCCTAATGTCACCTTCTCCAAATTCTGAAATGCAGCTCATCATGTATTTATTTATTTTTGAGACAGAGTCTCGCTCCGTCGCCAGGCTGGAGTCCAGTGCTGCGATCTCAGCTGGCTGCAACCTCTACCTCTAGGCTTTAAGCGATTCTCCTGCCTCTGCCTCCTGAGTAGCTGGGATTACAGGCACCTACTACCATGTCTGGCTAATTTTTTTGTATTTTTAGTAGAGATGGGGTTTTACCTTATTGGTCAGGTTGATCTCAAACGCTTGACCTCAAGTGATCTACCCACCTTGGCCTCCCAACGTTCAGTGTGTCAGGCCTACAGCTCATTATTAATTCATTCTCATTTATAAATAAATCTCATTGTATTTATTTCAGTAGGTTTGCAAAAAACAAAACCAGCCTGTTTAAACATAAAAATAAAAAGGAGAGGGCCAGGCGCGGTGGCTCATGCCTGTAATCCCAGCACTTTGGGAGGCCGAGGCGGGTGGATCACGAGGTCAAGAGATCGAGACCATCCTGGTCAACATGGTGAAACCCTGTCTTTACTAAAAATACAAAATTAGCTGGGCATGGTGATACATGCCTGTAATCCCAGCTACTCAGGAGGCTGAGGCAGGAGAATCGCTTGAACCTGGGAGGCGGAGGTTGTGGTGAGCCGAGATCACGCCACTGCACTCCAGCCTGAGCAACAAGAGCAAAACTCCGTCTCAAAAAAATAAAGAGGAGAAATTTGGACACAGAAACAGACACACACCCACAGGGACAACATCACGTGAAGATGAAGGGGGAGACTGAAGCAATGTGGCTACAAGCCAAGGAGTGTCAAAGACTGCCAGCAAAGCAAACTGCCAGCAGTCTGTCTGGAACAGATGATCCCTGGGAAGCTAACCCCGTCCTTGATCTTGGACTTCCAGCCTCCAGAAACAGAAGAGAATACATTTCTGTTGACTAACCCCTCAGCCCCACGGTTTACGGCATTCCTACAGCTGCCCTAACGAACTCATATACCCCAACTTATTTACTTATTTTTTGAGATGGAGTCTCACTCCGTCACCGGGGCTGGAGTGCAGTAGCACGATCTTGACTCGCTACAACCTCTGCCTCTCGGGTTCAAGCAATTCTCCTGCCTCAGCCTCTCAAGTAGCTGGGACTACAGGCACACACCACCATACCCAGCTAATTTTTATATTTTTAGTAGAGATGGGGTTTCACCATATTGGTCAGGCTGATCTTGAACTCCTGACCTCATCCTCCCACCTCAGCCTTCTAAAGTGCTGGGATTACTGGCATGAGCCACCGAGCCTGGCCTATTTATTTTTGAGACCCAGTCTTGCTCTGTCACCCGGACTAGAGTTCAGTGGTGTGCTCTTGGCTCACTGCAAACTCCACCTCTTGGATTCAAGTGATTCTTCTGCCTCAGTCTCCCGAGTAGCTGGGATTACAGGTGCCCACCACCAAGCCTGGCCAATTTTTGTATTTTTAGTAGAGACAGGGTTTCTTGAACTCCTGTACTACAGTGATATGCCCACCTTGGCCTCTTAAAATGCTGGGAATCCAGGCATGAGCCTGGCCTGTTTTTTGTAGAGATGAGGTCTTGCTATGTTGCCCAGGCTGGACTCAGACTCCTGGCCGCAGCCTTCCAAGTAACTGGGACTGTAGGTGCGTGCCACCATGCCCAACTATGCCAATTATTTTAAAGCACATCCTAGACTGTATCATCTCTTTTTCTTTCTTTCTTTTTTTTTTTTTTTTTTAAGACAGGGCCTTGATTACCCAGGCTGGATTGCAGTGGTGCAATCTCAGCTCACTGCAGCCTCCACCCGCAGGGTTCAAGCAATCCTCCCACTTCAGCCTCCAGAGTAGCTGGGATCACAGGTGCACCACCATGCCTGGCTAATTATTCTATTTTTAGTAGAGATGGGGTCTCATTATGTTGCCCAGGCTGGTCTCAAACTCCTGTGCTCAAGCGATCCTCCTGCCTCGGCCTTCCAAAGTGTTGGGATTATAAGCATGAGCCAGCAGGCCCAGCTATATAATTTTTTCTGATGCCTGTGAAATCCTCAGTCTGGCTGAAGGACTCCAGCGTGGAGGAATACGTTCTGACCCATTTCTTTTGAAAATCCATCTGGGCAGCAGTTGGTCTCACCATGTTTCCTGACAGGTAAGACACAGACTGATACACGTTTATACTCCTGGCTGCAACTCTCCAGGCTGGGCCAGGCACTGTCAGGCCAACAGCTGGGTGTGATTCTAGGCATCGGTGCCCCCACAGGACTGGCAAGAGGAACGGTGGCGAGGTGGCATTTTCTGCAGAGCGCTGGCACGCCTGTAACTGGTTTTAATAGCTTTTTCTTTTTCACTTTGTCAAATCTGCTGCTTCCAGGATCCAAGTCTGTCCTCTGAGGATGTTTGGAGCATGTGTTGCAATCTCTGAAGGCGATCCCAAGAGGGGCATTCCAGAGGTGTTTTCAGCTAGGGTTGGCCCAGCAGGTGGGGATGGCTGTGTGACTTCTTAGCCTGGCCAGGTCCACACACGCAGAAAGCAGTCCTGATTGACCCTCCTCCCTTCTTCCTTTCCTTTCCTGATCTTCAAACTCCTTTTCATTCTGTTTCTCCTTCCTTCCTTTCCTCTCTTTTTCTTTCTCCCTCCCTCCCTCTTTTCTCTTTCCTTCTTTCTTTCTCTTATCTCTTTTCTTTTGGCCAGAGTCACTGCAACCCAAGTTCCAGTGATTCTTCTGCCTCAGCTTCCTGAGTAGCTGGGATTACAGGTGCCCGTGACCACTCCTGGCTTGGCCAGGCTGGTCTCAAACTTCTGATCTCTGGTGATCTACCTGCCTTGACCTCCCAAAGTCCTGGGATTACAGGCGTGAGCCACTATGCCCGGCTGGTTGACTTTAAATAAATCAATCGCACTGTCTTATAGTCTGCTATGGCTATTAAGAACAATTAACTTGGCAGGCAAACCACCTCAGCAAACTCAAGAATTGGGATACTGGGTTTTTGTTTTTAAGACAGTGTTGCCGGGCGCGGTGGCTCACGCCTGTAATCCCAGCACTTTGGGAGGCCGAGGGGGGTGGATCACGAGGTCAACAGATCGAGACCATCCTGGTTGACATGGTAAAACCCTGTCTCTACTAAAAATAAAAAAAATTCGCTGGGCATGGTGGCGCGTGCCTGTAATCCCAGCTACTCAGGAGGCTGAGGCAGGAGAATTGCCTGATCCCAGAAGGCGGAGGTTGCGGTGAGCTGAGATCACGCCATTGCAGTCCAGTCTGGGTAACAAGAGCGAAACTCCGTCTCAAAAAAAAAAAAAAAAGTATCTCACTCTGTCAGCCAGGCCAGAGTGTAGTGGCTCAATCTCAGCTCACTGCAACCTCTGCTTCCTCGGTTCAGGTAATCCACCTCAGCCTCCCAAGTAGCTGGAACCTCAGATGGGCACCACCACGTCCAGCAAATTTTTGTATTTTTTGCAGACGGGGTTTTGCCATGTTGCCCAGGATGGTCTCGAACCCCTAGGCTCAAGCCATCCTCCCACCTTGACCTCCAAAGCGCTAGGGCTACAGGTGAGAGTCACCATGCCCAGGTGTTTTTCTTCTTTCCCAGGTGTTTTTAAGCAGGTGCTTATCTGCTCACTTCCAGCAAGACATTTACTTTTCTGACTGTGCTTACAGGAAGTCACTGCGATGAAGTCAGGTTTGCACATGACATCTACTTGTACAATCACGCAGGCACTCTCAGGCTTCATTAAGTACAGTCGAAGACAGGACTGCAAACCCTCTCAGGGACTGGAACGCCCGGCGGCGGTGCTCAGGAGGCGGACCTGCCAGGAGTCAGCTCCTAGGAAGTACGGCACCCACGCACCTCTGAGATCCTGGAGTCTGACTCACCAGCTAGGTGAATTCTTGTAATTTCCACAAATAGCACTGGGGTTCCCTTAAACCAGATCCCCAGTGGTGCCCAGAACCCGGGAGGGAACCCAATGTGCCCAATGCCACAATTATTAGAAATGACACTGTCTGTTTATCCTCCTTTATTTAAAAATACAACTTATTTTAAAAACAAAGAAAATGGAGGTAGGAGCCCGTCTGGGCTCTCCGTGGAGTTGCCCCTTCCCAATGGTGATGGCCACTCCACATGGCCTCAGCTTCCTCCCTGGGATGGGGGGGTCTGGGTGGCACCTCCTTCGAAGAGTGGGCATGGGTATGAGGCTCCCAAGTCGGCCAGGGGCTTGGCCTGGCTCAGAACAGGCGCTTCACATCAACGGTGGTGTGGGGAGGCCCTGGGCCCTGGGTGGCTCGGGGTGGGGGTCAGGGAAAGTCGCTGTAGGGCAGGCTGAGGGGGTAGAGCAGCCTGTAGCGCACGTCCTGCCAGAGCAGCTTGTCCTCCAGGAAGGCGATGGTGGGCAGCGTCAGGACCAGGGTCTGGTGCTTGAGCATGCTGTACACGTTTAGGCCTGGGGGTTTGGGGGATGATCAGGACGGGACTTCCTGTCCCACCCGACCCACATCAGAGTCCCTCCGCGCTTACAGAGACCCTCATTGTGCTCTAGTGTGATTTGTGAGCCCAGCAGCCCAGGCCAGACCCCACCTGGTCACTTGTTGCCTCTAAGCCTCTGGCCAAGGAGCTGTTCTCAGCTCATCACCTGCTGACCGAGAGCCCCCCAAGTGCAAGGCTCAGCCTATGCCTGGGCGGAACTCCTGGCTCCCATTCTCAGAGGGGAGACCCAGGGCAAATGATGGGAGGGCAGGGAGGTGATGGGGCTGGTCATGCAGCACCTGGCATGCCACCCTGAGGACTTGAGCCTTCATCTTGAGGGAGGTGGGAGCCAGTGAGGGCTGGGGACAGGACCTGACTCAGGCTCACAGGCGCCATCTGGTGGCTATGGAGGGAACAGACTGTGGCGTTGGCAGAGGTGACCTTGGAGCTTTTTTGGGGGGAACTGAGTCTCGCTGTCACCTGGCTTGAGTGCAGTGGCACGATCTCCGCTCACTGCAACCTCTGACTCCCCTGCCTCAGCCCCACCCCCGAGCAGCTGGGACTATAGGCACATGCCACCACACCCAGCTAATTTTTTGTATTTTTAGTAGAGACAGGGTTTCACCCTGTTGGCCAGGATGGTCTCAATCTCTTGACCTCGTGATCCGCCCGCCTCAGCCTCCCAAAGTGCTGGGATTACAGGTGTGAGCCACCGTGCCCGATCTCTCTTTTATTTTTTTGAGACAGAATCTTGCTCTTTCCCCTAGGTTTGGGTGCAGTGGTGCGATCATGACTCACTGCAGTCTTTGGCCCCCTGAGCTCAAGGTATCCACTTGCCTCAGCCCTCTGAGTAGCTGGGACTACAGGTGCACACCACGCCTGGCTCGTTTTTTGATTTTTAGTACAGATGGGAGCCTCACTATATTGCCCAGACTGGCCTCAAACTCTAGGCCTCAAGCACATCTCCTGCCTTGGCCTCCCAAAGCACTGGGATTGCAGACATGAGCCACCACACCCAGCCAAGCACTTCTTTAGGAAAGGTTATTGCTTTGGGCAAGCGGAGGGCTGGGTCCAGGACACTGCCCAAGGCCAGAGACCAGATGCAGGATTTGAACTGCCCTGTGATTCTAACAGCAGAGCCTGCTCATGCACGCTCTGGGGGCCTGGGAGGTGGGCTGGGCTCTTTGCTCACCAACAGCTGGGATCAGGGTGAAGGTCTTGAGCCTAGAGGCGGCTTCCACGATGCTCTGTGGCATCTCCTCGTGTGTCCTATAAGAGAGAACGGGGAGTGGGGCTTGAACCCTCATAGTATGGAGCTCAGGGCCCCCTGCCCCTGCTCTGCCCTGTGCCCTCACAAGTTCACGAGGAGCACGGAGTCCCCCCAGCGGCGGTAGCGGGCCAGGTCTGTCAGGTACTGGGGGTCTGGGGTCGGCAGCTCTAAGGAGTCCACAATGTGCAGGTCGTCCTGGCGGGAGGAAAGGATGATGTGAGCTCTGGGTCCGGAGCAGCCCCACCTCCAGCAGCCATCTGGGTCCCCATGGCTGTACCTGGGCCAGCTTGACGGTCAGTGCCACTTTGAGGCCCAGGGCCCGCACCTTCATAGGCAGCATGTAGTAGTAACTCGTGGGGCCCCGGGGGCCGTGGGCAACGCCTCCTGCAGGGACAAAGGCATGTGAGCAGGTGGGCGCCACTGCAGAGCTTGGAGGTCAGCAGTCTGCTGCAGTGACGGGTATGGGGTGACAGGACAGAGGGGGTGCTGCCAGGAACAAGACAGAGAGGGCAGGGCCTCAGAGGATGCTGGATCAGGGACAGCTTGGAACCAGTGACTTTGCTTCACTTGGCTTGTTTCCCCAGCTGTCACACTCTGAGACAGGGCTGGCCACAGTGACTCACACCGCACGTTGGGAGGCTGAGGCTGGAGGATCACTTGAGCCCAGGAGCTCAAGGCTGCAGTGAGCTATGACTGGGCCACTGTACTACAGCCTAAGCAACAGCGAGACACTGTCTCAAAAGCAAACAATCACAAAACAAACCACCTTGAGAGCAGACAGTTCTGCCTCATAGGACACCATGAGTTATGGTGTGGATTCCGTAGAGTGGCGTGGAGTGTGAGCTTAAGCACAGCTGTTCATGCTGAAATTATCAGGAGGTTCTAACTTTCAGGTCTAGAGAGACAGGCAGGCATCAGGCACACACTCCAATGGAGTAAGCAGTGTGATTTGGGAGCAACGGCACTTGGGAGATGCCCTAGCAAGCCCCTCATGTTGGTGTCTGCCCTCACCTGGGCCTTCGAAATGCAACAGAGAAGACAATGGACATGGTCACTGCCCTCACGCCATTCACATTCCGGTAAGGTCAGAAAACAGGCTCAACTGCAGAGGGAATCAGGATAGCTTGAGGGGATGCAGAGGCAAAGGAGGTCAAGGAGGGCTGCTTGGAGGAGGTGTGGCTTAGAACCCTGAAAGGTGAGGAGAGCTGGCAGGGTAAACAGCTGACAGGGCGGCTGGCACCACCCTGAGTCATCTTGTTAGCATCCAAGAAAATAAGAGGTTAAAAACAAGGCCGGGTGCGGTGGCTCACACCTGTAATCCTAGCACTTTGGGAGGCCGAGGTGGGTGGATCACCTGAGGTCAGGAGTTCAAGACCAGCCTGGCCATTATGGTGAAACCCCATCTTTAAAAAAAAAAAAAAAAAAAAAAAAAAAAAGAGGTTAAAAACAAACCAACAACTACAATAAAAAAAAAAAAAAAGAGCCATCTCTGCCTGGTCAGAGAGGGAACGGAGGGGACGAGGGGGAAAGGTGTGCAGCCACCAGGGCCCTCAATGACAAAGTCAGGAGTTCAGGCTCCACACAAAGGCCGAGGGAGGTGAGAGATTTAGGAAGAACTCTCTGGGTGTGTGGGAAGTGCAGGTCAGGAGAGGGAGACGGGTGGTGGGGTCAAGAGGGGCTGTGGCCATGAGCTGAAGAGAGGGCATTTGAGAGTGAGGAGTGGATGGCTTCCAGGTCCATTTGTGTCCCCCTACGTGGGCCGCCAGGTCTGAGGGCCTCAGTCCCAATGTCACCAACCCAGGTGGACCCATGAAGTGGAAAGAAAAGGGCAGACATGATACCATGTCAGATGTGGGCAGCTGTGTGAACACCCAGGCCCTTCACTGGCCCCCCCACCCCTCCCCATCCCCTCCATCCTGTCTCCAGTTACCTCCTCGCCAGAGCGGAGAACGGATGCTGCCATGCCGGGCCCGCCCACTGCCTTTCTGTGGCCAGGGCTTTCGGCCACCGCCCCGCACCTCGGCCCTCGTCTTGGTCTTGGCATAGCTCTGGAGGCACAAAGTGAGGAGGGGGTCAGGTCCACAAGGCAGGTGTCAGGGAGCCAGGAAGGCCAGTCCTGCCACAGGGGAGGCAGGCAGGGCACACCATGATGAGGGGCTCTCTTGGGCCAAGCACAGAGTGCTTGGCGAGGGTAAAGAAGCCAGAGCTCCTGCCCCATGCCAGCCTCACAAAGGCAGGGGCCCTGCTGCTGGGCACGCAGCGGGTGTTTGGTATTTTTTGAACGATTACTTTTTTTCTTTGAGACAGTCTCACTGTATCACCCAGGTTGGAGTGAAAGTGGCGCAATCTCAGCTCACTGCAACCTCCCATTTCTGGTTCAAGTGATTCTCCTGCCTCAGCCTCCCAAGTAGCTCAGATTACAGGTGTCGGTCACCATGCCCAGCTAATTTTTTTTTAAAGGGAGTCTTGCTCGTCACCCAGGCTGGAGTGCAATGGCATGATCTCGGCTCACTGTAACCTCCGCCTCCCGGGTTCAAGCGATTCTCTTAACTCAGCCTCTCGAGTAGCTGGGATTACAGGCACCTGCCATCATGCCCAGCTAATTTTTGTATTTTTTTAGTAGAGACGGGGTTTCATCATGTTGGCCAGGCTGGTCTCGAATGCCTGACCTCATGTTCTGCCCACCTTGGCCACCCAAAGTGCTGGGATTACAGGCATGAGCCACCACACATGGCCTAATGCTTTTATTTATTTATTTATTATTTATTTATTTAGAGAGAGAGAGAGAGAGAGAGAGAGAGAGAGAGACGGAGTTTCGCTCTTGTTACCCAGGCTGGAGTGCAATGGCGCCATCTCGGCTCACCGCAACCTCCGCCTCCTGGGTTCAGGCAATTCTCCTGCCTCAGCCTCCTGAGTAGCTGGGATTACAGGCACGCGCCACCATGCCCAGCTAATTTTTTTGTATTTTTAGTAGAGACGGGGTTTCACCATGTTGACCAGGATGGTATCGATCTGCTGACCTCGTGATCCACCCGTCTCGGCCTCCCAAAGTGCTGGGATTACAGGCTTGAGCCACTGTGCCTGGACATGTTTTTATTTATTTATATATATTTTTTGAGACAGTTTCGCTCTGTCACCAGGCTGGAGTGCAGTGACACAATCTCAGCTCATTACAACCTCCGCCTCCTGGGTTCAAGCAATTGTCCTGTCTCAGTCTCCAGAGTAGCCGGGACTACAGGCACCCGTCACCATATCCGGCTAATTTTTGTATTTCTGGTAGAGACAGGGTTTCACCATATTGGTCAGGCTGGTCTTGAGCTGCTGACCTTTTGATTCGCCAACCTTGGCCTCCCAAAGTGCTGGGATTACAGGTGTGAGCCACCGTGCCTGGCCTATTTTTTGGACAATTTTAATGTGGCTATTAACTGCCCATTTCCCATGGTGGGAAATGACGTGAACTGGAAGAATCCAGGAAGAGGAGCGGGCAAGGAGATCAAGAAGGGCTCTGAATAGCAGACTGACGATTTTATTCCTAGGGTGATCGGGAGCCAGGGAGGGCATGAGCAGGAGGAGTACTGGCTAGACCACTATGGTGGGCGGATGAGACCCCGACTGGTAATGGATTCTTCAGTGTTCTTAGCATAAAACCCAGACTCCTCCCCACTGCTCCCATTGGCCTCTATAGCAACACTGGGCTCGTTATGGTCCCTGCCACAGGGCCTTTGCACACACCATTCCTGTTATCTCCACCCCAGCTCCGCTGTGTCCTAGATCTCGTTACCTTCTACAGTAGACCTGAGGTTAAACGTCCCATTCTCTGGGACAACTGCTTATAATTACACATTTATGGCCAGGCACGGTGGCTCATGCCTGTAATCCCAGCACTTAGAAGGCCGAGGTGGGTGGATCACGAGGTCAGGAGTTCAAGACCAGCCTGGCCAACATAGTGAAACCCCATTTCTACTAAAAAACTACAAAACTTAGCCGGCTGTGGTGGCACATGCCTGTAATCCCAGCTACTTGGGAGGCTGAGGCAGGAGAATTGCTTGAACTGGGAGGTGGAGGTTGCGGTGAGCCAAGATTGGCCCCACTGCACTCCAACCTGGACAAGAGGAAAACTCTGTCTCCAAAAATAATAAAAAAAAATAATAATTACACATTTATAGGCATGACTATCTGACTTGCCTTCACTTCTCCCATGAGACTGTGACCTTCATCAGAATAGGACTTTGCCCATCTTTTTTGGTGGTGGTGGGGGGGCGTGGAAAGGGAAGGGGCAGAAATTGGGTCTTGCTGTTTCCCAGGCTGGTCGTGAACTCTTGGCCCTAAGAAACCTACACACCTCGGCCTCCCAGTGCTGGGATTATGGGCCCGAGCCACTGCACCTGGCCTGACTTTGCCTATTTTGTCCACTGCTATATCCTCTCAACCACCACAATGCCCACATCAGTGAGTGATCAGAAAATAACTGAAAATGAGCCAGGCGCAGTGACTCACGCCTGTAATCCCAGCACTTTAGGAGGCCAAGGCAGGTGGATCACTTCAAGTCAGGAGTTTGAGACCACCCTGGCCAACATGGTTAAACTCCATCTCTACTAAAAATACAAAAATTAGTTGGGTGGTGGCGCATGCCTGTAGTCCTAGCTACTCAGGAGGCAGGGGCAGGAGAATCGCCGGGACGTGGAGGTTGCAGTGAACCAAGATTGCGCCACTGCACTCCAGCCTGGGGGACAGAGTGAGACTCCTTCTCCATCTCAAAAAAAAAGAAAACTAAAAAATGGACTCATTGGTGAATGGTTCAGGAGACAGATAAGGCCCCAGCTGAGCAGTCCAAAGAAAACCCAGCCATGGGCTTCCTCTGGCCCCCGCCCCCAACCTCCCCAGGAAGCTCCTTCGCTCCACCTTGTTCCATTAGGCACTCACAATTCTCTTGAAGTTCTTCTGCCATATGGCAACCTGGTGCAGGATATCCAGCCTGGGGGGAGAAGGCACACATGAGAAGCCCATCTCTACTTCAAACGCTCCCACCCTACTACAGGGAAACCCAGGATTCTCCCTTCCACCTCTGGGGCCCTGTGTGATTTGCTGTTCCCTCTGCCTGAAACAGTCTTCTCCTGGATGGGGACTTCCTTCTCAGCCTACAAGTGTCAGCTCCAATAACTGCGGAAAGGAGCTCCTAGCTAACAAGAGACACACTGGCCAGGTGTGGTGGCTCACGCCTGTAATCCTAACACTTTGGGAGGCCAAGGTAGGGGGATCACTTGAGGCCAGGAGTTTAAGACAAGCCGAGCAACATAAGGGAACCCTGTCTCTACAAAAAATACAAAAATTAGCTCCGTGTGGTGGTACATGTCTGTCATTCTAGCTACTCAGGAAGCTGAGGCATAAGAATTGCTAGAACCCGGGAGGCAGAGGTTGAAGTGCGCCAAGCTTGTGCCATTGCACTCTAGCCTGAGCGACAGATCAAAACTTTATCTCAAAAAAAAAAAAAAAAAAGCTGGCTGGACACAAAAATTAGCTGGGCATGGTGGTGTGCACTTGCAATCCCAGCTACTCGGAAGGCTGAGGCAGGAGAATTGCTTGAACCCAGGAGGTGGAGGTTGCAGTGAGCCGAGATCATGCCATTGCACTCCAGTCTGGGTAACAACAGCGAAACTCTGTCTCAAAAAAAAAAAAAAAAAAAAAGCCACCCCTTCTTCCTTGTTTTTTCTACCATTATTTTTTTCCTGCTATTACAGTTCAGTTATTGCCACCTTCTTCGGGAACTGGTTTGCCTCTCTAGTTCTGTACCACTCCATACAGTCACGGACTCAACACCTGCAACATGGCCAGTGCCCATACTTAAATGTGATTTCAATATAGTTTTAAATACAGGTTAATACGTTCTTGAAATGAATTTCACCTATTTTTTCTTTTTGAGACAAGTCTTGCTGTGTTGCCCAGACTGGAGTGCAGTGGCGGGATCTCGGCTCACTGCAACCTCCGACTCCTGGGTCCAAGCAGATTCTCCTGCCTCAGCCTCCCAAGCAGCTGGGACTACAGGCGCCCACCACCACACCCAGCTAATTTTTGTATTTTTAGAAGAGACAGGGTTTCTTCACTATGTTGGCCAGGCTGGTCTTGAACTCCTGGCCTTGTGATCCACCTGACTCGGCCTCCCAAAGTGCTGGGTACAGGCTTTAGCCACCACGCCCAGCCTCCTTTTTTCTTTTTTGAGATGGAGTGTCGCTCTGTTGCTCAGGCTGGAGTGTGGTGGTACAATCTTGGCTCACTGTAAACTTTGCCTCCTGGGTTCAAGCAATTCTCATGCCTCGGCCTCCTGAGTAGCTGGAATTATAGGCGCGCCACCATGCCTGGCTAATTTTTGTATTTTTAGTAGAGACAGGATTTTGCCATGTTGGCCAGGCTGGTCTTGACCTCAAGTGATCCACCCATCTCAGCCTCCCAAAGTGCTGGAATTACAGGTATGAGCTACTGCACCCTGACTTTTTTTTTTTTTTTTTTTGAGATGGAGTCTGGCTCTGTCACCCAGGCTGCAGTACAGTAGTGCAATCATAGCTCATTGCAGCCTCCAACTCCTGGGTTCAAGCGATCCTCTTGCCTCAGCCTCCTAAACAGCTGGGACTACAGATGTGAGACATCAGGCTCAACCTAATAACACATTATTTGCCAGAAACAGCGTGCACAAGTCAGGACACTGAGACTTGGCCTGCATAGTTTGAGATCCTGTTGATCACTTACAAAGAATGTTACCTTTGGAGGAAGTTACATGAGTTCCTCCATTTATCTACAAAATATGGATAACGCAGCCGGGAGCAGTGGTTCATGCCTGTAACCCCAGCACTTTGGGAGGTCAAGGTGGGTAGATCGCTTGAAGTCAGGAGTTCAAGCCAGCCTGGCCAACATGGTGGCAAAATCCTGTCTCCAGTAAAAACAAAAATCAGCTAGGTGTGGTGGTACACCCTGTAATCCCAGCAACTCAGGAGGATGAGGCAGGAGAATCATTTTAACCTGGGAGGCAGAAGTTGCAGTGAGCCCAGATGGTGTCATTGCACTCCATCCTGGGTGACAGAGCCAGACTCCATCTCAAAAAAAAAAAAAAAAAGGTAACCCTACATTTCTTTCTTTCTTTTTTTTGAGACGGTGTTTTGCTGTTGTTACCCAGATTGGAGTGCAATGGCACGATCTTGGCTCACCGCAACCTCCGCCTTCTGGGTTCAAGCAATTCTCCTGCCTCAGCCTCCCAAGTAGCTAGGACTACAGGCACGCTTTGTATTTTTAGTAGAGACGGGGTTTCATCTTGTTGACCAGGATGGTCTCGATCTCTTGACCTCGTGATCCACCCGCCTCGGCCTCCCAAAGTGCTGGGATTATAGCTGGCCTTTTTTTTTTTTTTTTGAGATAGAGCCTCACTCTATTGCCCAGGCTGGAGTGCAGTGGTGCGATCTGGGCTCACTGCAACCTCTACCTCCCAAGTGCAAGCGATTCTCATGCCTCAGGCTCCCAAGTAGCTGGACTACAGGCTTGCACCACCACGCCTGGCTAATTTTTGTATTTTTAGTAGAGACGGGGTTTCACCATGTTGACCAGGATGGTCTCGATCTCTTGACCTCGTGATCCACCCGCCTCGGCCTCCCAAAGTGCTGGGATTACAGATGGGAGCCACAGCACGCAGCCCCTACATTTTCTTAGAGATGTTATGAACAGTCAGTTAACTAAAATACAAACAGCCTCTTCCAGGCACCTAGGAATAGTTTAGTGCTCTTATTTGCAAAAAGCAGTTAACAAATGATTATGAACTTTTCTATAGAACTTATAATGGCCAGAATCAAGTCATTTACTCACCACAGCAACCTCCTGAGCGCTGACAAAATAGAACACTGAGGCACAAGAGGGGAAGACAGGATTTGAACCTAATCAGTAGGGCTCCAGAGTTCTGTCTCCCTAACACCTAGAAAATGCCACTTCTCAGACTTCAATCACACAGCGTTACATCAGAGGAAACTATCATGATCCCCCTTAGACAAATGGAGAAACGGGGGCTGTAGAAATTGAGCACTTTCCCAAAGGCACAAGCCCAAAGTCATCTGACTCCTGAACTCCCGCTCTTCATCCCTCTGCCACTCAGTTCAGCATTACAGCCCCGGCTCACCTGGGCGCGGTGGCGAAAACATCAGGGTGCAGGTCGGCCAGGCCCACGTGCTCCTGCTCGAAGCCCCGCAGGGACTCGACCCAGGCCTGTACCGGGCGTCGAAAAGGGGGTATCGGGAACTCGACTTTGCGCAGCACCGGCTCCGGGAGACCTGGAGCGATTGCGGGGATGAGGGGTTAGGGTCAAGGGGCAGACCTCATTGTCGCCGCCCCTCCTGGGGCGACCCCGGCTGCCTCACCCTCGCTCGCCACTTGCTCCGGCTTCTCGGTCGGAGGCGCTGCCTCTTCCGCCAGTGAACTCAGGGCCTGCAAGGGGTGGGCGAAAGTGAGAGACGACCCCTGGACACCCCCACATTTCATCCTTCGACCACGCCTCCAGCCCCTGGCCTCACCCGGCAGCTCGTAGGGCGAAACCAGACCCGCACCCCAGCCCGGACCAACTGCAGCATCGCCGCGAAGCCTCCCACGCCACGGGAGGTCAAGGCCACTGGAATCGCGCGCGGCGCCGCCAGATGACGTCACGCACGCGACGCCACTCGACCCGCTGCGACTCCACGCTGGAAAGCGAGGTGTGCAAAACTGGATGGGGGGGTCCGACCCAGCGTGCCCCAACTTCCGCCCCAGGACTATTCCCCAGACCCCAATTTTCACTCCTGGCTTAAGGACCCTCTGCAACACTGGGTAACGCGACCTCACAGCAAGAAGCTCCAGCTTCCGTAGGCCATTCCTACTTGGGTCCAGCCCCCGGCGACCTCAGCCAATGAGACTTCTCCAGCCCAATTGAGCCAGTGAGTGTTAACACTGAAGGAGTGTCCCCGCCCATAATTGGGCAGTTCTGGGGCGAGCAACTAAGGAATACAGCCAATAACGCTGAAGCTTTCGCTGTTGGTCACGCCCAACGGGCCACGCCCTCATTTCTCCCCCGCTCTCGGAGGTGTTTTTTTCTTAATCTAATTATGTGGTTTTGTTTTTTTTATTTGTTTAAAGACAGGGCCTAGTAAGCCTGTCCCACAGAAGCCTTCAGGGTTGGGCCTGCCGGACCATACCTCCCACTTTAGATTCCCCAGGGCAGGGCTATGTCCTCCTGAAATCCCTCTGATTAGGTCTGTGTGTCCCCCACCCAGTAGACCAGGGTCCTGTCCCCGCTCAGACCTTCCAGGGCTCTCCCAGGACAGAACAAAGTGGGACACAGATCCTGGACTTCCTCCCTTGTCATCCCCTAACAAATCCGAACGCTCATTTTCGTTTCTTTATTTTGGTTTTTAGAGATGAGGGCTTGCTTTGTCGCCCAGGCTGGAGTGCAGTGGGCAAGATCATGACTCGTTGCAGCCTCAAGCTCCTGAGCTCAAGGGATCCTCCTGCCTCAGTCTCCTGAGTAGCTGGTAACTACAGGCGTGCACGCTTGGCTGTTTGTATTGTACTTTTTAATTTTGTATTTGTATTTTGAGGAGTCTTGCTCTGTCACCCAGGCCTGAGAGCAGTGGTGCGATCTCGACTCACTGCATCCTCTGCCTCCCGGGTTCAAGCGAGTCTCTGCCTCAGCTTCCCGAGTAGTTGGGATTACAGGCGCCCACCACCAGCTAATTTTTGTATTTTTAGTAGAGACGGGTTTCACCATGTTGGCCAGGCTGGTCTCGAACTCGTGATGTCAGGTAATCCACCTGCCTTGGACTCCCAAAGTGCTGGGATTACAGGCTTGAGCCAGTGCGCCCGGTCTAATTTTTTGTTTTTTGTTTTTGTAGAGACGGAGGCATGTGTCTCCCAGTGTGGCCCAGGCTGGTCTGGAACTTCTGGGCTCCAGTGATTCTCCCCCATTGGCCCCCAAAGTGCTGGGATTACAAGCCGGAGCCACCGTGGCCCACCCATTTTTATGTTCTTTACCATATTCCCGATAGACCCCCAGGGGGCGCCACCAGACCATAGCAGGCTTTCTTACTGGTCCAGGGCTGTCCGCTTGGAGGCCAGTGCATTCTGGACAGAGCACAGTTGCTAACAACGTGGTCTGTGAACCAACCTCGTTTTCCTTCGCTAGAAAAAGGGGAGGTTATGAGATTTCAATGACATATTGGAGGCAAAGCGTGCTATGCTTGGTAAAAGGTGAAAATTCAGTAAATATAATAATTATTATTTTTTGAGAGAGTCTCGCCCTGTTGCCCAGGATGGAGTGCAGTAGCGCATTCTTGGCTCACTGCATCTTCCACCTCCCCGGTTCAAGCGATTTTCCTACCTCAGCCTCCCAAGTAGCTGGATCACAGGCATGTGCCACCACGCCTGACTAATTTTTTGTATTTCTACTACAGACAGGATTTCACCATGTTGGCCAGGCTGGTCTTAAACTCCTGACTTCATGATCCACCCACCTCAGTCTCCCAAAGTGCTGGGATTACAGGTGTGAGCCACCGAGACTGACCTGTTATTATTATTACTATTATTATTATTTTGAGATGGAGTCTTGCTCTGTTGCCTAGGTTAGAGTGCAGTGGCATGATCTCAGCTCACTGCAACCTCCACCTCCCCGGATCAAGCAATTCTCCTGCCTCAGACTTCTGAGTAGCTGGGATTACAGGTGCCTGCTACCTCACCTGGCTAATTTTTGTATTTTTAGTAGAGAAGGGGTTTCACCGTCTTGGCAGGCTGATCTCAAACTCCTGATCTTGTGATCCACCCACCTCAGCCTCCCAAAGCGCTGGGATTACAGGCGTGAGCCATTGTGCCTCGTCACATTACTATTATTATTTTCTTTTTTGAGATGGAGTCTCGCTATGTTGTTCATGCTGGAGTGCAGTGGCGCGATCTTGGCTCACGGCAATCTCCGCCTCCCAGGTTCAAGCGATTCTCCTGTCTCAGCCTCCTGAGTAGCTGGGATTATAGAAATGCGCCACCATGCTCTTAATATTTGTATATTTAGTAGAGACAGGGTTTCACCATGTTGGTCAGGCTGGTATTGAACTCTTGACCTTGTGATCTGCCCGCCTCAGTCTCCCAAAGTGCTGGGATTACAGGCATGAGCCACTGCACTTGATCGAATTATTATTATTATTATTGTTATCAGAGACAAACAAGGGCCAAGACAAGAGTGAGTGGGGGCAGAGACTGGAGGACTTGAACACTGTGCTAAAGATATGGGCTTTCTCTTGGTATCCAGTATATAATATTTTAGAAACATTTTTGTGAAGTACTAATGAAAATTTTGCTGGGCGCTATGGCTCACACCTGTAATCCCAACACTTTGAGAGGCAGAGGTGAGAGGATCACTTGAGCCCAGGCGTTTGAGCCCAGCCTAGGCAGCATGCCAACACCCTGTTTCTACCAAAAATTTAAAAATTAGCTAGGTATAGTGGTATATGCCTGTGGTCCCAGCTACTGGGGAGGCTAAGGCAGAAGGATCACTTGAACCCAAGAGATTCAGGCTATGGTGAGCCATGTTCATGCCACTGCACTCCTGAGTGACAGAGTGAGATCCTATCTCAAAAAAAAAAGTGGCTGGGCTCAGTGGCTCACGCCTGTAATCCCAGCACTTTGGGGGCCGAGGCAGGCCAGTCTCAAGGTCAGGAGTTTGAAATCAGCCTGGCCAACATGGTGAAAACCCATCCCTACTAAAAATACAAAAAATTAGCTGGGCATATTGTAATCCTGGGCGCCTATAATGCCAGCTATTCAGGAGGCTGAGGCAGGAGAATTGCTTGAACCCGGGAGGCAGAAGTTGCACTGAGCGGAGATTGTGCCACTGCACTCTAGCCCAGGTAACAGCCTGAGACTACATCTCAAAAAAAAAAAAAAAAAGTATAGCATATTGTGTATTTTATCCTTGCAAGAATAACTGTGGTTGCATGTTTAGGACTCCATGTATTTTGCAACTTTCAAAGGTCTTTTAATCCTTTATTTTGTTCCTGTTGTTTTTGAGACAGGATCTCACCCTGTTACTAGTATGTAATGCAGTGGCAAGATTATAGTTCACTGTAGTCTTGAACTCCTGTGCTCACATAATCCTCTGCCTCAGCCTCCCATGTAGCATGTAGCTAGGACTACAGGCGAGTGTCACTAGCCTAGCATTTTTTTTTTTTTTTTTTTTTTTTTTTTGATATGGAGTCTTGCTCTGTTGCCAGGCTGGAGTGCAGTGGCTCAATCTCGGCTCACTGCAACCTCCACCTCCCAGGTTCAAGTGATTCCCCTGCCTCAGCCTCCTGAGTAGCTGGAATTACAAGCGTGTGTCACCACACCTGGCTAATTTTTTGTGTTTTAGTTTTTAGCAGAGATGAGGTTTCACCATGTTGTCCAGACTGGCCTCAAATTCTTGACCTCAAATGATCTGTCTGCCTCAGCCTCCCAAAGTGTTGGAATTATAGGCGTGAGCCACAACACCTGGCCGCCTGGCTTAATTGCTTAGTGACTTATTAGGCACCTACTGTGCACCACTGAGACACCAGCAAATCCAGCTGACACTTTTGAGATATTCAGAGTCCAAAGGATTGAAGGATCAGAGTTCAGGAGGGGAATCTGTAGGGTCTGTGGGCAGCCATAGGAGGAATTCCCAGCCACAGGGGCAGGGTCTTGGAGTGGTCTTGTGAAGCTACAGTCTGAGAGCTAAGGCTTGAGGACTTTGTCCAGAGGAGAAAGTGTGTTTCAGGTTGAGAAAACAGCAGTTGCAGAGGCCAGGAGTGAGGAAAGACTGACGGGGTAGAGGTGGCTGAACCTTTCCGACTACCCACCTCATGCCTCCTTTGTTTTTCTTCTTGTGGTTTCTGAGACAGGATCTTACTCTGTCACCCAGGCTGGAGTGCAGTGGTGTGATCTTGGCTCACTGCAACCTCCGCCTCCCAGGTTCAAGTGATCCTCCCATCTCAGCCTCCCGAGTAGCTGGGACTATAGGCACACACCACCATGCCCAGCTAATTTTTGTATTCTTTCTAGAGACAGCGTTCTGCCGTGTTGCCCAGGCTGGTCTTGAACTCCTGACTTCAGGTGATCCCCCACAGCTTCCATGATTATCCTATTTAAAATAGAAAATTGGCTGGGCGCTATGGCTCATACCTGTAATCCCAGCACTTTGGGAGGCTGAGCGGGTGTATCACCTGAGATCAGGAGTTCAAGACTAGCCTGACCAATATGGTGAAAACCCGTCTCTACTAAGAATACAAAAATTAGGTGTGGTGGTGTGCACCTTTAGTCCCAGCTACTCAGGAGGCTGATATGGGAGGATCACTTGAACCCAGGAGGTGAAGGTTGCAGTGAGCTGAGATTGCTCCACTGCACTCCAGGCCGAGTGACAGATTGAGACTCTGTGTCAAAAAATAAAATAAAATAAAAGGCAAATCTTCACCCCTGACCCTTCTGACCCATTGTCTTGCCTTAATTTTTTCTATTAATATTTATCCTTTTTTTTTTTTTTTTTTTTTTTTTTTACAGTGTTCCACTCTGTCACCCAGGCTGGAGTGCAATGTCACAATCTCGGCCCACTGAAACCTCTGCCTCTGGGGCTCAAGTGATCCTCTTGAGTAGCTGGAACTACATGTGTGTGCCACCACAACCGGC